CATACTTCTATCTGCAAAAGCAATTGCCTGTGATCAAGATGATGTCAAAAAAAAATAGGCTTGATGAAACTGTGTTCTCGGGTATTTCTCAACTTTGAATTAGCAGGTGGTTCGTGCATTTTCCAACACCATGTCTGAATGTGATGGTATGAATGAATGGATGAGTGTTTGTCTGGCTTCTAAGCAAAAAGCAGCTCTCCTCAGTAGGTTCTTTGTATGAGTTTTTCTTGAGAACATCAAGTGCAGCTTAAGGTTCAAAGATACATCAATTCAAATCTGGCAAGTCTTTTTTAAATTAGATCCTCAAACCACAACAAGACATGACCAATCAGACACATTCATGTTGTATGAATGAAAGAACCTTTTCAATCAAAATCCACCGACATCAACTTAAATAACATAACACATATCAAACCGGTTTGTCTCTGACATTCTCCATTTTCTTCTTTATATGATTTGTTCTCTCTTTTACAGATGCCTCTCGAAAAGCCAAAAAGAAGAAGAAGAACAAACATAATAATATAAACCAAAATACAAGGGTCGCGCAGCCTTCAGGACGTGGTCGGGGTCGTGGAGGACCTCGCAATGATTTTGATAGAAGTACACACCCTTCTACTGGGCGAGGTCAATGCAGGTATATAAGTGTCCTAGGACAGACAAATACATCATGAAAAAGACTCACGAGACACACCTTGCACATCTTGAGCCGACATATCCCCAGCAATAGTTGATTCTTGACTGGTCTTGGCGGCTATGGGTTGGTTTAAGTCACTCTTTCAGGTGCAAAAGATCAAGATTGAGGATGAAATGAGCAACTTACACACTCCTTCGACGGTGAAAGAACGCAAGGCTGAATCTTGACTGGCAATCGAGGCGGTGGTTGAAACTTCTTGACTGTTGTTGGACCCCTCTTGACTAGCCTCCGTGCCTGCTTGACTGGCCATTGAGGCTATGGACACTGGCTTAAATAAATCTCGAACATGGGCTGGGCAAGAACAGGACAAAGATAAACTTACACACTCCTTCGACTGTGAAAGAACGCAAGACTGAATCTTGACTAGTGTTTGACTCTTCATGGCGGGTGTTTGTACCTTCTTGACTGTTGTTCGACCCTTCTTGAATAGCCTCTGTGGGTGCTTTACTCGCCATTGAGGCTATAGACACAAGCTTCAATCAATCTCGAATATGGGTTGGGTAAGAACAGGAGGTATTCCAGTGGTGATAGATCAATAAGTCAATTACTTTTCACGTCACATACCTTCGTAAGGATTGATAAAATGAATCTCACAATTTCAGGAAATGGACTAACAAATGTCCCTCCTTCCTTTAATGTATCGGACTGAAGACAAGATTGAACAGAACAATTATCATGCTGGGGAGAAAAGACGATAACCAACCTGTTCCATGATTTCCGTGAAATCTTTGTGACATCCGGTGAGAAGCGACGCCGCGTGACGGTTGTCGACAACCGCAACCGGTCCTGCCCCGCCTCTAACCACTTGATCCAAATAGAGTATCACGTGATTAGATTTTAACCCGAGGATTCAAGACCACGTTATGTAATGTATTTCTGTATTTCATCTGTCAACTTTTGATCGGACTCCACTCCTTTCATCCTCATTCATCCTTCCCCTTTCTTCCAGTACATTCCCAACGCTTCACCCACTCTCTCACCTTCAGATTCATTTCGAAAGATCATCTCCAATTATATATAAATTTCTTTCATATCTCCTGTTATAAATAAATATATTGCTTTCATCGCTGATCGATTGCAACTACTAGCTCATTTCCTGGCAACATCTGCCGATATCTTCAACTTCCTCAAAGATTAGCAAATAATCTCCTCTCCAATCACTTCAATCGGCCCGACTATCCTTCTGTTCT